CAAAGGGCTTTTTTAAAAAATTCCACTCTTAAAAGTTCATCCGAAGAAAATAATCAGATTATTGTACAAAGATCGTGTATGAGAATGAACATATAAAATCAATGTTTATAAGACAAAATTCAACTGTCAGTAAGGGGGGGTTGGTAAACTAAATTATGACATGTTGTTGTTAGGTGCTGTCAAGTCCACTTTCGACTTATAGTGATCCCATGTGACAGAGTAGAACTACTCCATTGGGTTTCTTGGCTGTAAGCTTTACAGGCAGATCGCCAGGTCTTTCTCCCATGGAGCTGCTGAGTGGGTTTGAACTGCCAACCTTTTGGTCAGCAGCTAAGTGCTTAACAGTTGCACCACCAGGGCTCCTTATATTATGACATATATATATGTATATATGACAGAAAATTATTTAGTCATAAAACAATGTATATTTATACTTATGGATGTGGAAAGCTGTCCATGATTTGTTATGCATGAGGTAGCAAGTTGCCATCCAGGAAATATACTTTGGTCCTATTGTAGTCAATATGCGTGTGTGTGAAGAAAGAACTCAGTGGTGCAGTCAGGGACTCTACAATGCCACAGTGGTTAACTCTGGAACGTTACTACCAATTGTCTTTACTGTCCTCATTTTGATTCTCTATATTTTGCAATGTCTCTTTAATAACTTTAAAAATACAAATCTTAGAAAAAGTAAAAATAACTTTACTACTACATTTTGAAATTAATAGAAACTCTGAGACCCAAGGTTTGAAAATAGCTAGCCAGACAAGAGAATACATAAGAGGGAAAAACAAAAGTAAAAACAAGGATAACAAAACGCTGTATTTCTGGAGATAGATAAATTTAGAACAGGCGTCTTTTTCTTGCTTTAGAACATGAGACTTGCATCAGATGCTTTCTGGGGGACTCTTAAGTGGGTAATTCTATGATTCTTGTCACTTTAATACTGTCTTTGATGTTTGCAGAAGATTATAAATCAAAGTAAACATTTCAGGAATTATAAATATCTCTACTTTTCTCTGTATTTTTTAAAATGTAGATTGTTAAAAAAAAAAGTAAGGGATTTGGGAGAAGACATTTAAAAACCTGCATCTTTCAAACACACTCTTGGCTGCAACATCGCTGGCCTTAGCTACAATTGCATTGCACTTGACATCGTCTTTTACCCTTTTTTATATGTAGCAGCATATGTGCCTCCTGACCCAAGCGAGAGAAACGGGACAGAAAATAACCATTGAAAATGTAGCTTTGATGTTCATCCTGCCACACGCTGTGATAACACTTCGACTTTTGCTGATACGGGCCAAAGAAAACTCATTTTAGGGAGCCCAGCACGGGCCTCAAGTCTAGACAAACACTAAAGCAGAACTGCTTCACATGTTTTAATGTGTAGAACAGGCTAGAAGGGGCATACACAGCCTTGCCAACTCCCACACAGCAGGACTGCGGCGAAAGCTAGCACAATTTTTTAAAGCAAGTATTTCCATACAATGTACCGTTTGCTGAAGTGTTCTGTACGAAGGAGTCTGTGCATATTAATTGTACAAAGAAACATCTCTCACTCTCCTCTAAATCTCACTTTTTCGCTCTTTTTATTACTATTATTTTTCTTCTGGCTATAAAGAGTAAAGCTTTAGAAATAAAAAACTAAGCAGAGTTTGTAGCATATGAAGTTCTCTAACCACTAAGGTATGTGACTCTCCAGTCGTAGGCACAAAAACAAGGACACACCTTTAGATAATGAGGCACCCCCTCCTATTAATTATCAGTGAAGAGAAGCCAGAAGGCCTTGCTGTATGCTAGGGTTACAGTCACTCTTCTTTCATGCACCTCTTCAAACTCAAACGACCTCAGAATGGGAAGCACGTTAAACAAACTGACTCGTATCTGTTTATATCATAGGATATTTTTTCCTTTGAGGGGAAAAAAAAGACTTAAAAGATGACAGAACTGGGTGCCTGTTTGGTGGGTCAAAAACCAACTTCTCAGCTTAATATAAAGCCTTGGTGTAAAGGTTTTGTGTCGGATGTCTGATTCTTCCACCTCATTTCTGGAATTTGGACCTCACTGTTGCTCTGCACCAAAGTATTAATGACAGGAATTTATGGTTTAGAGTAACATAATTTATATTTTGTAAATTTTGTATTTCTTGATGTAAATTCTCAGGAGTTTAAAAGACACACCCATAAGCAAATACACAAACACAGACTGAGAACTCAGGACCTTAGATGACCGCTAATCACAATCAGCCACACAGTGCTTTTCTAAGTCCTAGTAAATTGGAGTTTGTATTTAAGGCAATGTCTTCCTTTCACTATGAGTCAGATTGGACCTGTTTCTCTTTGAGAAAAGTAGGTAACTTCTAAAGTGTATGTGTGTGTAATTTCCATAAAATAGTTTCTATATTGTCCTAGTGACCAACTATTTCATTTTAAAATTTTATTTCCATGCTATATATGTGTATTATTTTCTCCATAAATCATATGAGTCCTAATTGGAAGAGACTTAATATTTTACTGTAGTAAGAAAGATTTCCTTTTGTGCATTCATCTACAAAATCTTCAAAAACATTATGACTTGAATGTGGTGTTTTACGACTAATGTTGTTCTTAGGAAAATATGTTTTTGGACACATTAAGATTCCTAAACATATGTATGATGAGCAGGTCCCAGAGAGTTCCTGGCACCTGCAAACTTGTGATTTAAGTAAGTCATACCCCAAGATCTTCTAAAAACATTCAGGAAAGTCTACATGATAATGGCTTAATAGGTAAGATCATCTCAGACAGATTGTAAACTAACATTGACATTTGATGCACCAATGATATCTGGAGTAAATGCCTTTGCAATCTCATTTACTAAAAGCAATATTAATAATTATAAAAATTAAAAATTCTGATTTGGACAGGAATTTGTAGCAGCTTTTCCCCACGATTTTTATATTTGATTGCTATTATTAAAAGAAAATACTTACTCTTCCATGTATATTTTCCTGTAAGAGAAGGGGGAAAAAAGTGAATTCATGTAAATTCACATATTTGGGGTAATATGCAAACATTATAAAACTTTTACGATTTTATTATGTAAAGTGATAAGTAATTTTCATGAATGTCCTATATAGAATTGACCTGATTATTTTATATATCATGTCCCTAAAATTTTATTGTAGTATAGATACCATTTTTATTTCACACTTTATATAAAATTAAAAACTGTTCGTTCAGATTAAACTTTGATAATCTGGAAATGGATTGAAATTAAACTTTTGTTTACATTATGAAAAAAGGATCTCTTAGACATAGCAATAGGAGACATCAAGATTACAAAGGAGATGCTTAATTGACTTGCAGAAAACTATTATCAACTGCTCTATAATATCTCTGTATACAGTGTTATGCAGATTATGAACAATTAACCTACTGAGTAAGGTAATTGTCGCTAAAACCTTCACTAGGCATTGCTAGCTTGCGTGGCTCCCATTTTGCTCCGATAAAACTAATGTCCATGCCAGGCAAGGCACTATGTGATCTACTGCTCCGCCCATTTCCTCCCTACTTCATTTCCTGTTACTCACTAACTCCCCCAATCTGTGACCACCATACAGGCTTCCTTCCTGTTTCTAATGCCAGGCATGCTCCTGCCTCTAGGCCTTTGCACTTGCTGTTCCTTCTGCCTGGATTGATCTTCCTGTAGATACCTCTATGCTTTCCTCCCTTATGTCCTCAGGTTTTACCTCCAATGTCCCCTCCTATTGAAGCCTTCCCTGATCACCCTTAAAAAATATTGTACCATGTCTCCCCTGTACTCTTTATCATCATTGCCTGCTTTATTTCTCCCCATTGCACTGGTCACTTTCTAATATAATATGTATCTTACTTATTTAGTTTATTGTCTACCTCCCCCCTCCACAAGGGCAAGGATTCACGCTTGCTTTGTTCACTGCTGTATCCCCAGTGCTGGAAAAAGTGACTGGCACAGTCACAAAATATTTGTTGACTTAATTAATTCACAATTTTAAAAAGTGGTAAGAATTCAAGTTATATTTAAAGAATAAAGAGGATGGAAATTTTTCTCTGAAAGCCTCATGTGACTATAGAGAGAGAAAATAATAAGTTCCTGGGTGGTGCAAACAGTTGACATGCTCGACTGCTAACCGAAAGTTTGGAGGTTCAAGTCTACCCAGAGGCATCTCAGAAGAAAGGCTTGGTTATCTACTTCTGAAAAATCAACCGCTGAAAACCCTATGGAGCACATGGGCTCTGACAAACATGGTTATAACCGTATCACCTTGGTATCTGGTTCCCAACCTTTTGGAAAACAATGTTTTCATTTTAAAAATTCTGTGACCCCATCCCGTAATAGCTGATGATGGTCTTTCAGCATTTAGTAGTTGAGGAAAAAAAAAATTGTTGTTTGATGATAAATACCTATGTTGAATTTCAAATACTTAAATGGATTTTATGTTTTATTTTATTAATCCCAATACTCCATAAATGTGAAAAACAGTGATATACGTATCTGTGAAGCACATTGTTTCCTCTATCTTCAGACATGTTGTATGAACGGATTTCTAGACATCTTGAAATAGGTAGGCGTTACTGAGTCCAAGACCTCCTTGATGAGACTCAACCACAGAATTATAATTTTTTTTTCAGTCAGCAGCTGCCAAAGTTTTAGGTAATTATTAACTGCTGTTGACAAGCTCTTCTATTGCAATGAAGGAAATCGTGTTACCAACTCTTGCCTAATCGTTCCTTCCATTCATTTCCTTTAAGCTCACACTCTGTTCCTTTGGAAAAGGACATTTCCAAATTGCCCCATACTCTGTGGGTCATAGATCAGGCAATTCTGGGAAAAAGATGTGTAAAAATAAAAATACAATTTTCTATGGAAACAAACAGGTGAACAATGTAATCATTCAGGAACCAAGACACATACTTTGAAGTTGAAAGAAAAGATTATTCTTTTAACTCCTAAGAAAAACAAAAAAAGTCTTTCTGTTTCTATTGCATTTAAATCAACCAAGTTAAGCCTAAATATTATAACAGAGTATTTTTATAAAAAGGACACTGCAGATTTTCCAATAGGGGAAACCACAGTATATGGAGTAGTGGCACTACATTGTAACATGTCCGTTTACTTGCTCTTAATTTTCTTTCATCTCCCTTTTGGGCTAAAACTTTCCAAGCATTAACCCCAGTCAAGGACGATTCAAGTAGAAGGAAGTTAAATTGTGTCCATTTGCCCTTTTATGGGATAAAGTAACTTAATATATCTTTCACCACACTGCTACCAACATGGGCCCATTATAATTAAACTGACAAGGTTTTTAGGTGGCTACTCCTTAAGGATTATATGTCTTTGTTCAAACATGATGCCACGTGACAAGGAGCAGAAAGCATTTCCAAAGGTGATTTTAAGTTTTACTCAGACCACTCCATTAGAATATGAAGAATTATAATAGACAAACTGAAGTCTATTCCTTTAGATTTTGTGTTGCAAGAGCTTTTAGCTTCCTCCCTGGGTGGAGATGCTAGAGCAGCAATGTGAGAGCAGTGCCTGGATGACTAGAGTTAGAAGTTTACCTCCTGAGTATGGTGGTGTTGGTTAGGGAGAAGAAAAATATAAATACGTTTACAACGACTAGATGTGAAGCTAGAAATGTATCTTCCGTCCACCCAAACACTTAGAAAAGCCCCTTTGTTCTTTTTCTATTACAAAATAAATCGATTTCTAGGGTCTCTGAAATGCAAAGGAGACTTTGGAGGGATTTATAACTGGAAAGACAGAAGGAGGAGGCAGCAGAGGGAATTCTAATCATAGCTACACTGGCATTTATAGACATTCCATTTTTCACTTTCCTCAAAGAGATCAGGAACCTTCAATAATCCCAAAGAGACTAAGTAACTGTATCTTTAGCAAATAACTTTCATAAGTTTAAAGACTGGATTAATACAGTATTTCACACAAATTTAGGGATCACTAATGAGACTCTGGAGCCCTGGTGGTGGACAGGTTCAGAATTTGGTTGCTAACCAAAAGGTTGGCAATTCAAATCTACCAGCTGCTCCTTGGAAACCCTACGGGGCAGCTCTACTCTGTCCTATAGGGTCACTATGAACCAGCACCCACTCAACGGCAATGGAATGAGATTCTGTAAATACTCCTTGCTGAATAAATAAAAACTTGCAGCTTTCCAATCGATAGGCCAAAGATGTAGATGTGGTGTTGTGTTTCTGGATAGTTTTAGACTTTTCTTTCTTAGGGTCTCCAAACCCTGAAATTACTGCTTGGACAGTATCTACAGTCATGAAAAAAGCCCGTCTACTTTAGGAAAAGCAGGGAGTGAATACTGTGGGCCTGGTTTCTCCTTCTAAAGTAGTTCTTCCTTGAGTATCAAAAATCACCTGACGGTGCTTGTTAAAAATGCAGATTCCTGGACTGAACCCCCAGGCGTCTTTTTTTTTTTTTTTTAAATCTCAGGCAGACCACAGGAATCTACACTTTGAATATACACACATCCCTCATTAATCAGATTCAGGGAACTACACAGTCAGAAATACTGCCCCAAATTTTTGTACTAAATCATTGCCCTAACGTTGCAAAGTGATTCAAAATTAGTTTCCGGATACAAATGCTATTTTCTCTTTTGAAAGATAATGGGCTTCAAAGAATAGCCAACGGTTATAAGCCTGAGTCTGTTACAGAGTCAGGAAATATCTCTGCCACCCTTTTGGAAATTAGTCTTGAACTGCACCGTGACAGCTTGTGGTATGTTATTTAGATTAACTCTTGTATTGTTATTAAACTTTCTGGCTGGTTTTATTTATCTACCCAACTACAGTGTATGTTCCTGGGAGGCAAAAACTATGCACACATACATACATATTTTTTTTTTCAATACTATCTCACACTCTTCATAAATATTTTTAGGCCCTCAAGAAACATTTTAATTTTGGTTAAAATGCAACCTAAGTTGCTTTAAAATCCACTGTAGCTTCTGAAGCATGAAGCTACTTCTCTTGTGGATATTGCCTCAAACCAAGTTGTCGCAATATCCCTTTGCAGGGTAAACATCGAGGCCACACCTAATATTCATTAGAAATTGGCAACTGTGCACTTGGGCTCCGTTATTTAGCCACAAGGAAAAGGCAGGACAGTAATAGCTTTGACTGATTACTTGGCAAAGGAAACCAAGCCCTTAGGGTGTTCCAGACTCTCTTTGGCCTATAAACCTGTTTAAAAACCTGTTTCTCAGAATTTAAAGCTTAGCTCAGTTGAGGTCAGCATTATAGTAATGTCAATAATTCTACTTCTCTCAGCCTTCAGGCAGTTCATCATTAACTTTATTTTCATAGAAAGGTAACTTTTTGGAAAATGTCTCTAAATGCTTTTATTTTGATTTTCTTTCCCTTAAGATATAGTTCTGCCAATCCTTCTTCCTTTGGATTTTGTGCTTTCTAAACCTTAGCTCCTTCTAGTGCCTGAAATTATTCCCTAAAATCAGAATGGTTCTGAATACACAAGATTTAGGGCATCACCAGGGAGATAACTCCAGGCTTCCAGAAAAAGAGCAAATAAGCCACTGGGTCTGAAAGTAATTTTTGGTAATTGGGACTTCACGTGGTCTCAGAATCACCTCTGGCTTTAGCTGCTTGTCAGGGGCATAATACTGAGCTATACTGCCTAGTGGAATATTCTGGCAAGGCCTATTTCTTTCTCTTAAGAGTCAAAAACTTAATGGCTAATAAACTAGTGTTTGCCAGCCCTGAACAGACAGGTCTATTTGTAGTCAGCAGTTAAGAGCACACGCCCAAAGCAGATTATCTTCATCCTCTCTCCATAAGAACCTCCGCTCCCAGGGTTGGAGTTGGGGTGATGATCTAAGGTGCTAATCATGCTATCTGTTCATCTCATTATGAGATTGCCTTCCTTTATTTCTAGCAACTGAAAAAGGAAAATAGTCCAAGGTAGACATTTATTGAATCAGGTTTTGCCAGTTGTACAAGGTAAGACAAGTGAAAAATTCACTCACACGCAGGATAACACCTTACTTTTCTCTAGGAAAAAAGAACCTGTACATAGAGAACTTGGCTCCTAACACATGACTTTATTAAGATAAATCTTACTTCAAATTTTATTGTTTCTCTGAATTGGTTTGCTGACACTGAACTAAACCAAAAATAGTGGAGAAATAACTAACTTGAGCTACTCATCACATATTTATATTTAAGAGTTATCTCATTATATTTAGCTTCTTACAGGTAGGGCTTATGTCTTATTGTTATTTTCTTTTATTCTGAGCAGCACGCAGAACTATGCTTGGCATAAGTACTCAATGAATGCTTGCAATTCAGTGATTTTAATGAATATAATCTTTTCCACCGGCAATAAAAAGTGGTTAGGGAACTGCAATAATGTAATGTCCAATAGAGGGCACTAAAGTTAATTAATTACATAATTTATTTTTTAATTAGTGAGACCCAGTTTCAACCCACTGTCAAACTCAGTTCTGACCTGGAAAGGCATCTTCCATAATAGTCCTAGTTAGTCTCTTGACTTCACTTTAATTCAGCCACAATCCTCTTGTACACATTGTTGTTAGTTGCTTGGAGTCAATTTAAGGTTGTGACCTTTCAGAAGCAGATCGCCAGGCCTGACCCCCGAGGTGCCTCTGGGTGGGTTTGAGCTGCCAACCTTTCAGCTAATAGTCGAAAGCTTAACCATTTGCACCACCCAGGGACTCTTGCCCCCATTAGGACCCCATCTCTGCTCCCCCCTACAATGACGTATATAAAAGAAGTGTGCTAAAGAGTCAAATTTACCAACAGCTCTCTATGGTTGGTAACTCTCTGGCCTAATCGAGATCTTTCCAAACCGAGATAATCCTTAGAAGCTAAAGACCATAATAGAACCATTAGGTAAGATGCGGAGTAGAGTAGTAATTTTGGTGCATGTGGTAGAAAACTTTATAGACAGTAATACTGCAAACACATGCCCATATTTATGCATATAAATAAGATCAGAAGAAAATGCAAACTGCGGTTATTAAAATGTGGTGGATAGAAAGGATTTTAAAACATCTTACTCATACTTTCCTATTTTTTCAGATCATTATAGCGAATAATATTTCTTGTAGGAAAAAATGTATACTATGTAACACGCTCCTCCCAAAAGTTTCAGGGATAAGGAGAGGGGACAAGACTAAGCTGTCTTGAAACTAACTTGAAACAACACCCTTGAACAGGGCTTGACTTGTCTCCATCCCCTGTTCTCCCGTCCCTCCACCCCAGTGGGTCAGGGGATAGAGGAGGGATATTCAGAGTCCTAGGACATTCCCCTAACTTTACTAACCCACGTGCTTCAGTGGTCACAGAGCCACTTACTGGCACGTATATTCCTTGAACTATGTGCGCAGCCAAGTAGCAACAACTTTAAGGAGAGACTTTTCTTCCACAAATCAATATTTGATATTGCATTTTCCAATCTCTATGGAGCCCTGAATCTTCTCCCATGCTATTTTTAGTCATCCTTGTAGGGAGGGGAAAAAAAAGTCAATCAGGGCTTCAGGCATGTCAGCTTTTCATGAAGGGAACGCAAAGCAGAGCTCCCTGCAAGCCTCATAAATCACAGGATTTATGTGAGATCTTTCATCTACATCCATTTAAAATGTTCCCTGCTAGGCAACTGAGAGTGGATGAAAATCATCATTTGAAAAGGCCTTACTTTAAGGACTGGATGCAGTGGTTCAAATGTTGCTTCAGCTCTTCTTCCTTTTCATAGGACTCCAGTACACTGTGCGCTTCATCATGATGATAGCAGTAGATTTTATAAATATCTTCCAGTGGACCTTTAATCTGTAAGAATACTTCTCCTGATAAATGTAAGACAAAAGCAAAATGACATAAAGTCAGACCAGTCTGGCCCCTCACCTGTTTATTATTATTCGACAATGTTGACTAGTGTTAAAAAGTTGGTGGGGTCTTGCTTTATTCAGGAGGGGTGAGAGATTTTGAGTGATTTTTTTTTTCTCTTTCCCTCCCTCCCTCTTTTTCTCTCTTCCTTCCTCCCTCCCTCCCTTCTTCTTCCCTCCCCCTCTGTTTCTCTCTTTCCTTGTCTTTTTCTCTCTCTTTCTCTGTCTCTCTCTCCCCTTCCCTCTCTTCCTCCCTCTCTCCCTCCCTTCCTCTTTCTCTTCCTTCCTTCCTTTTACAAAGCAAAATATAAAGAACTTAATGGGAATAGGTGGCAAAAGAATGCTGGTTTTCTCAAAGGTGACTTTGCTTGCTTACCGCGCAGGAATGTGGTTAAGCTCATACACTTCAGAGTTAGTTTGTAGGAGTTTGAATCAGGCTGTGCTACAGATTAATTTTGTGACTTGGGAATCTTTCCTATTATTGTTCTTATTTTATATATGAGGAAACTGTCCTGTTTCCTCACCTATAAAATAAGAACAATAATAGACCTAACTTCATAGGATCATCATAAAAATTAAAACAGGTAGTGTGTGTAAAGTTCAGAGCACAGTACATACATTAAAATGGAGTATTTAATATTATTAGAGGTATGGGAAGTGAAATTCCAGATGTTTGGTAAGTCATTTTTCAATATTTATTCCACTAACTTTTCCTGATATTCTCTGAAAGGCAAGCAACAGAGTTTAGAGAAATAAAATAAAATAAAATATTTTCTTATATGTGATAGTAGAAAGAACAGGGCCATTACTCCTGTGCAAAATCAATTGGATAATACCAAGAACCAAGTTTATGACTGTTCATAAAACACCTTGGACTAATTGTATCCATACATCTAATGAATTATTTTTGGTATCATGAAAAAATTAGATCTATAACTGATGGATCAAGTAGATATTAGACAACAGTTTGATTTAATCACCCATGCCATCATTTAAAAATATGTACTAAGCATCTACTACCTAACCTCAGAAAAAAAATCTGGAGATCTACTTCTAAAAAATCAGTCACGGGGCAGTTTTACTCTGAACACATGGGGTTACCAAGAGTCAAGAGTCAACTCAGTTACCACCATATTTTTTACCCAACCCAGCATCATGTTACATGATTTGGGAGACACAGAAGAGATATGTGCTGGGTCTGCTCTCAAAAGCGTTACAAATTTGAGATTGATATTTAGGGGCTGAGCTGATTGGGAGAGCTAAATCGGTTTGCAATGATCAGGATCTATTATTTTAGTAACAGGAGTAAACCATTCTTCCTACAGAAATAGCCATGCCCTTAGTATTTTCAACATGTTTGCACACATTAACTGCCTAAGTACCTATCCTCATGAGGAGATAAGAAGTTATTTTATCAATATTAAGGATGGACAAATCTGAGTTTGAGACAGTAGGTGGTTTTTCCAAGGTCCCACCAGGAGGTGGCAATGCCAGGCTCAGGGCCATATTCTCCTCATTGATGCTCTGGTTTTAGTCCTCCACACTTCAGAGCTTTGCTGGACCATGTACAAGGTGATACACTTGGAAAGAACACTGAACTCAGAATCAGAAACCACTGTCATCTAAAGTTTGTGTGGTTATTTTGGGAATGACTTTATTTTTAAAATTTCTTTGAGCCTCAGTTCCCTCATTTGTAAAATGGAAATAAGAGTAGCTATGGAGATTAATTTGAGAGTTAAATGGGATAATGGATGCGGAAATGACTGTACTGACTAGTTGCTCAGTAAATGTCACTGGCCCTTAATGCTGCTTGATTATTCCTAGAATTAAAATAGGACTTTTAAAGTACCACACTTCTTTTCTAACTTATATCCAGCTCATAAAAGATTTCCCTGTTCTTTTCAGTATATGTGGTTTCCTGTGATTATATTTAGACTCTAAAGTAGTGTTGGTGTGTTAGATTTCTGTTTGTTTTGTTTTTTAACAGAGCTCTTTTGGATCTGTAAGGAAATACAATGACTGTGAACATCTTTGGTGCTGAAGGAATGAAGGATTCTTATTTCGTTCCTGCTATTTTACCGAACTTACTAAGTAAATCCTTCTACCCCTACAGGTCTCATACAGTTGCTCTTTAAGGCAGCTAGCAACATAAACAGTAAGAAACAAAATAGTTAAAACCAAAAACCAAACCAAACTCACTGCCGTGGAGTCAGTTCTGACCCATAGTGACCCTATGGGACAGACAGAACTGTCCCGTAGAGTTTCCAAAGCTGTAAATCCTTACGGAAGCAGACTGCCGTATCTTTCTCCCGTGGAGCGGCTGGTGTGTTCAAACTGCCAACCCACCGGTTAGCAGCCCAAGGCTTAACCACTGTACCACCAAAAAAAAAAAAAAAAGTTGCCCTCGAGTCCATTCCGACTCATAGCGACCCTAGAGTACAGAGTAAAACTGCCCCATAGGCTTTCCAAGGAGCACCTGGTGGGTTCGAAATGCTGACCTTTTGGTTAGCAGCCATATCGCTAACCCACTACGCTACCAGGGCGCCTAAAATAGTTCAAGAGGAGAAAATAAAATAAGGCGGGGACTAAACTTAGCGTTGGACGTAAGTTAAGGAGAGACTCCCAGTAACAACCAAGTAGCAAATGGGGCGGGGAGAGCTGTTACTGGACAAGGGAATTAAGACCCGGAAGTAGTAGTGGGCTACAGGCTTAGTGGGAGGCTCTGCGGGCAAGCCAGGAGCAGGTGATTTGAATCACACACTCCAGGACAAGACGAAATTGCAAATATGTACGTCTACAACAAAGAAGCTAAGAGTAGACACAAAGGACAATCTCATAAATCCACAACATGATCGAATCGGAAACTAAAAAAAGACAAAAACATGCATTGTTAGACCCAATGAAACCATTAATTGCGATTTCCCTTGTATTTTCTTTAACAGAAGTGGTCTAGTTCGAAAAAAATATATAGCTCTCTCTCCCTAACAGCACCATCACATTTTTTACTCTTTTCCAAGTAAAATTCTTTTGGGGCTTTAATAATAATTATTAAAGTTAAAAGATATTTAAGTACTCTAATTGAAAGTCATTTATTCACCCGAAGGTCAAGTGTAATACTGGCGGGCAGAATATTTGATTGCCCTCCCAGTCCTACCAATGTATTCTGCTTCATAATAGCGCTCAGATAAAGCAACCTGTCTCGCGGCAAAAAGTGATTCCGTTGCCAAGGTAACATAACTCTTGGCTGCATTTCTTTAGCGGTGAAGGACAACTGCTCTGTCTAGTGCCTGTGGGTCTGAAGGGATGATGAGCAGTGGAGAAGGGACTGAGCTAAGACCAGTGCAGGTAATTTCACTTTTGGCTGGCCGCCACAAAGGCACCAGAATCCTGTAAAATAAATGTAACTATCTCATGCTTCTTTTTACAAATTTTACAATCTGAGAATTTACAATCCAAAAAAATTATCATGAAAAGGAAAAGAATTAATGCACTCTTTTAATTTCCTTAGTTATCTATCTCCTCTAAAAATAACTCAAATAACCAAAAATATTAAACATATTTTATGCCCTGGTATCATTAGTCCTATGTTGTAAATTATTCCCTTCACTAATGTAAATATATTTATATTCCTCTTATTGACCACTTCTTCACTTCCAGACTCTCATGTCTATCACTAAGATTTGCCATACCAAACGGCATGGCCTCTGTACTATTTATTCTGACTAGGATCCAAGATGAATTTCCCTTCCAGGTAAGTAAACCAGTTAAACCAATGATATACAAAAGATCTCCTTGTCCCAGGCCTTGTTTAGGAAAATAACTTAAAAGGGAGTGAAGTAGTTGTATTCTTTACTTCATCCTTATTCGGCAACAATTTATTGAGTGATTATTCAAACCCTTTGATAGGAATTGCAGACACAAAGAATCAACACCTGCGTCAAGGAACTCACAGGCCAGCAAGAGGAGACGCCTGTTTACCATACTATGCAGAAACTACAGTAATGGAGCTATAAAGCACAGAGGGGCACCTGTTCTGCCCTTGAGGACCTTTGAGTTATTCCCGTAATAGCCTGCCCTTGAAATAGGAGCAAATACAAAAGCAGGGAGATATGAGGGAATAAGACCTTTTCAGAAACTGCACGTGGCCCTGACTGAATGGTACAGTGTCTCTGAGGAAGTTTCAGAAGAAGCTGTAGAGGTAGGCAGGGGCCAGATCATGAAGGACCTTGTGTATCATTAAGTAGCTTGAACTTCAGCATGAAGATAATGGAAAAGTGTTGATGGATTTTAGTCAGGGGACTAACATGATTGATTGTATTTTAGAAAGATTACTCCGATAGTCATATGAAAGGTGGAATTTGGGGGGAGAGGTTGGTGAGACTGGAGAAGATAAATCAATTAAAAGGCTTCTGCGGTGCAGCGAATTACTTAATATGGCCCTTCTAGCCATAGTCTTCGTGACTCCCACACACTGACTGGGTGGGACTATGCAGATAAGGTACTTGTGGCCCACCAAGGGAATTGGACAGCTTGCTGCTGATGCAAATAAGGTGTATAGAACCTGTGATGTTTAGGGTTATGTGTCAACTTGGCTGGGCTATGATTTTCAGTGGTTTGGCAGTTATGTAATGATGTGATTTGGCAGTTATGTACTGATGTAGTCATCCTCCATTTTGTAGTCTGATGTAATTGTTCTCCATTTTGTGATCTGATGTAATTATCCTGAGTGACACACATAACTGAGCAAATAAAAGTTTCAGGGTGCTACCCCAAAATGAAAAAGCTTTACTGGCAGCTTTCTTTAGTGGTTTCAAGGAAAGTTCCCCAAGATCTGCTCATCCTCCTTGGATGAGAGCCCAGCTTCCAGGACTAAAAAAGGCGACAGATTAGCCACACTAAAATGCGAGAGCATTGATACACTTCACCTTTTCTTTCCTAGCCTCCTTCTGTTCTCCGGGGAG